ATTAATACACACACACACACACATTATATATATATATAATATATATATATATATATAATATATATATATATATATATAAATTCGTATTCATCTATATATGTATGCACGCTTTCCCATTTATAGATATATATTGTTATAGTTCCAATTACACTATGCTTGTGTAGTCTGAGTTGAATAATGTCACCATTATATTATTCCCTGAAAAATCTGGTGCATGTTGCGGTTTCTAATTGTGTTCTAGTCCTCAATAGATTTTTCATCTGCTAATGTAGTATGTAGTACTAGTTGGCATATCATTTTTGCGATTGGTCGTGTATAGATGCATCGGGGACACTATCTGTTTGTCGGTAAACGCGATGATCTCAAGAGTAACGGTTACCGTCTCAAACATTCGTGTAAGTCTGGTGTCAAGTTTCGTTCTCGCTGAAGTACGTATTTGAATTGTGCGCTCTTCAGTAATTGAACAATACATAGCAATCATTGTTATGCTGCGAAATGAATTCGTCTGTCGCATTAATTGATTCTCTTGGCTGCGGCTGGCTTTTCTAGTAATATTTATTTCAGATTATAACAGTTAAATCTACACTTCACACCGGGTGACACGTGAAAAACATCTTATGCTTAAGATTTATCGCTTTATACGTCGCTGACTTTGATTGCTCGATGAATGATCGAGCTGAACGGTGGTTTGCTTGGTTATTTTATTATTATCTCCCAATTAGTCCGATTGAGTATGGTTTAGTATAAATGCACGGTTTTTCGTCGTAATAGGTTATGCATACAGAACGATTGTATCCAAGCCAAGATCCACTTCCTTTGTAACATCCCAATGCAATGAAATATTTATAAATGCAGGTCGATTTCTCTAAGAACATTGTGACGGATGAGACCATGGGACTTCTTTTTGACGTAGCCAAGCAAGCCAAGGTGGAGACTATGCGCGACAAAATGTTCAACGGAGAGAAAATCAACATCACCGAGGACAGGTAATTTGTCTTTTTCCGTGCTGTATACGTATGCTATTGAAACCTATAACTGAGTATGCCCCAGCCACTTTCCCTTGCTACCGCGTTTCTGAATACAGCAATCTATCTGTAATAGTTGCAATGGGTCATGCTAGACATTTATATCTCGTTTTCGTATGCACACGTACTTGTAATGTATTTATTAATTCATCCATCCATTCATTCGTCCCTCGTTGTTCCTCAGAGCCGTGCTGCACGTGGCGCTGCGTAACCGCTCCAACACACCCATCAAATGCGACGGCAAGGATGTCATGCCCGAAGTAAACGCGGTACTGGACCACATGAAGGAGTTCACTGAGGAGGTGCGCAATGGCAAGTGGAAGGGGTACACCGGAAAGGCTATCACGGACATTGTCAACATTGGTATCGGTGGTTCTGATCTGGGGCCCGTGATGGTGTGCGAGGCTCTGAAGCCGTACGCCAAGCGTGACCTCAACATGCACTTCGTGTCCAACGTCGATGGCACGCACATTGCTGAGGTATGGAGGTTTGGCTTCGGTAAAGACTTTGTATTCCACGAGGCCATGTTTGTATGTATAAGCCTATAATCGGTTATGTATACGAGTACTACGTTTCTTTTACGTGTATCGCATCTATACCTACATCTTTTCTTTGATCGATGTTGTCTCCCATAAGCAGTTGTGCAAATGTATATATAAATATATACAAGTCAGCAAATACTGTGTTTGTAGCCGCCTGCGGTCCTTCCTCAACCTCCTCTGCTAGTGCTGTTCCTACGTAAAGGCTTGTTCCATCTGTACACAGTTTCCTCGCAACCAACCGTCTGCTTCTCGAAATCTATTGTCCTCGCGAACCAAATTTGTACACATCTATACCATACATTCAATTGTAGACGTGCTCCAAATATGCCCAACAAAACTGCGCATCTTTGTTACTATCAATCTGACTGACCCAAAACACATGTTTCTTTCCCACGCTGCAGACCCTGAAGAAAGTAAACGCCGAGACCGTCCTGTTCCTGGTAGCTTCCAAGACCTTCACCACTCAGGAGACCATGACCAATGCGCAGTCTGCCAAAGAGTGGTTCCTCGGACAGGTGGGTGGCAACGTGGAGCACGTGGCCAAGCACTTTGCCGCTCTCTCCACCAACGCCAAGGATGTAGAGGCCTTCGGCATTAACCCTAAGAACATGTTTGGCTTCTGGGATTGGGTTGGGGGACGCTACTCGCTGTGGTCTGCCATTGGTACGCCCATTGCGCTGTCGATCGGCTTTGACAACTTTGTCGAGCTCCTGGCGGGTGCCCACGAGATGGACAACCACTTCAAGACCGCGCCGCTGGAGAAGAACATCCCCGTGATCCAGGCTCTCATTGGTATCTGGTACAACAACTTCTTCGGCGCCGAGACGTATGCCATCCTGCCGTACGACCAATACATGCACCGATTCGCAGCCTACTTCCAGCAGGGCGATATGGAGTCCAACGGCAAATTCGTATCGCGGGATGGCAATGAGGTCGACTATTCCACCGGCCCCATTGCCTGGGGCGAGCCCGGTACTAACGGACAGCACGCTTTCTACCAGTTGATTCATCAGGGTACTAAGCTGGTCCCGGCCGACTTCCTGATCCCCATCAAGACACACAACCCGGTCCAGAATGGCCTGCACCACGATATATTGGCTTCGAACTTCTTTGCGCAGCCCGAGGCTTTGCAGAACGGCAAGTCCGAGGCCCAGGCCAAGGCCGAGCTCGAGAAGAGTGGTATGGATGCCGATACAATCAAGACCATCTTGCCCCACAAGGTGTTCAAGGGTAATAAGCCGACCAATTCCATCATGTTCGACAAGCTGACCCCGCGCGTGCTGGGTTCATTGGTGGCAATGTACGAGCACAAGTTCCACGTACAGGGTATGATCTGGAATATCAACTCGTATGATCAGTGGGGCGTGGAGCTGGGAAAAGCTCTGGCGAAGGCCATTCTGCCGGAGTTGGATGGCCAGGACGAGGTCACATCGCACGACAGCTCTACCAACGGACTTATCAACCACTACAAGAAATCAAAATAAGTTACTTGTGCGCGGCTATGGCGGTGCCATGATACCGTTCTGTGCTGTATCGCCGAGGACCCCCTTTGTATTTAAAAATAAAGTATTCAATAAAACATCAATAACGATCAATATGTAGTTTGCATGCGTGCCTTGTCTCACACGCAGGGTATGATCTGAGATAATATCTCGTACAATCAGTAGGGTGTATGTAGAGCTGGGAAGGTTCTGCCGAGGTGCCATCCTGGTGAGAAGGAATGGGTGCATCGCGATGTTATGTGTTTGTTTTATTGCCAAGCATCAAGTGCAAGTCAAAGGTGTATGCCGTATGTAATGTGTATATTGCAAATCCGTGGGGGCGTGCCTAGTCGATCTAGCAAAAAACATTCAAACTTGTGATTCGAGAGGGATGAACCAAATTGTGATTTTGTGTTTTGTTTGTTGCCATGTACTAAGTGCAAGTATGATTGTGATTATTTTATATACCATGTATTCGGTGTAGGACGTAGATGATTCGAGTATTATCCTAGGCGATCCTGACACAATAATTGCAATGTACTCATATAAGAGGGATGAAGGAGAACGCGATTTGTTCAGTTTATTGCTACTATATATGAGGTATAAGGCACAGATAAGTTAGACATTAGAGATCGGAATATCACAATGAATGCAGGTAGTCAATCCAGAAGGGTGAACAAGATTGTGATGATTTGTTCATTTCATTGTCATGCCAAAGGTATAAGGTGATTTGGTGTTTATATGATTGCAACAAATTAGTTAAAAGACATAGACAACTGGGCAATGAATATTCGTGGGTGAGAGCTCTTTGAGACTAGATACCAAAGTAGTTAGTACAGATACAACCACGAGTGAGGAGTGACTTTGACATAAAGTATGGGCAAATAGTGGACTCTATACGGCGAATTATAATATTTTACACAAAGTACAAATCAATCGACTAAGCCGTTTTCCAACATTGGAATATGATATCAGGGCTCAGGCTGTATGGTACTCACTCTCTCAGGCCATATCAATCAGTAGCATACACTCCATTATGACGGCAAATACTTTATTATACATAATGTATATGCTGTGCGAGTATTGTTTTCCTTTGCAATAGACTCGTGAGTTGGCAAATACGCACCCCCTATGTTCTTATCCACACACAACAAATAAGAACACTATGACCATATACACATAGTACAGACACGAACACACTTCGGCCATATACACACAGTACACCATCTATATCGTCGACATTCACTTCTTTGTATTCATTTATTAATACCGCGGAACGGAACCATTTGTACTAATATTTCAATAGAGACGATTCAGAGGCAATATAAACGAGAGGCTATGAACCAAACTTATCTAAACCCTAAAACCCAAAGTGTCGAACTCCCAAAATTCGATAATATTTTTCGCGCGAACATTCTTCATGAGCAAGAGCCATGATCAGCATCTTGACTGTGACTGTTTGACAAGAAGCAGTGTCAGTATCTGTGACTATGATTGTGACATATTTTAAAGTACATACAGAGCGCAAAAGAATGAACACCGTGACATTGTTTGCCACAGCGTGACGGGCTCAAGTATAGTAACCGATTTCAAAGTTCAAAGATGGCTTCATCGTCTAAAGCACACGAGGCCTTGATGGTCAAGGTACGGCAACACCTACCCGAGAATGAACCACTGGAACTCTTGCAGATGTGGGCTTTGAAGACATATCTGGTACACAGATTGCCATTTAGTGCTACCGCACTACTAAGCGATGAAGATACATTGGCTAAGCTTGTTGCTGGTATGTATAAG